GACTAATTGTATAATGGAGTCAGCAGGAGCGTGGGGATCCTGACCCCACAGAAATATTCATATACCGCTCCCCTCACCGCAGCACCCGACAACCTGCCCTCAGTGCCTGAGGCAGAGCAATGGACAGGAAGACCGCCAGGGACAATGTCACCACGCAAAACCAAACAGCAAGGTTTTCCTAAGAATCGGGAAATTTTCACAATCCTACTTTTCCCAGCAGAGCAAGATTTGAGAGTTTTGAGAACACAAGCTCTATACAGCTAAGAGAGAAGACAGCCGCAGTGGTGCCCTCTCCACGCAGGTGTCCCCATTTGCCCGAATCAACAGTGAGGGTGCAGGTGTCTCTGTCACCACAGGCATCTCCAGTGACGTCTTTAAATGAAATTCTAATCAAATAGCCAAATGTAAGAAAACATAGGCAAACTGTGGTTTAGCCACCTGATAAATACTGAATAGTCTTTAAAATATAAATATGGACACTGTCAATACATGGAAACAGTAGCACAAAATGAAAAAGTGAAACACGAAATGGAATATATGCACCAATTATCATCCTGTCTAAAGATGCACACATATCAGCTAGGGTTGGAAATGAATCCTGCAATACTCAGAGTTTCGTGGATGCAAAGCTTCTTTGATCTATAAGGCTAAGTGAATAATTTTTAATGCATCTATGATAGGAACCCATTTTCTCTCCATTTAACTTAAAATCAAAGTGAAGCCAGAGCCTAAAAGACAGCCCAGCCCAGAGCGGCGGGGACAGCTGAGCAGGTGGGGCCACTGCACCTGCTCTCCAAACTGCCACCAGGTGCAGTCAAGCTATGTCCCTACTCCAATGAGATGCCACTTCCAGGCTGCTGCTCAGGGCCAGAGGCTTGAGCATCCTGACACAGAGAAGATTTGTTCAGACCCCAAAAGTTCCCCAGAAAGTTGTTCAGACCTCACAGGCTCCAGTTGGTGACTCTCTAACCAGTGTTTACCTGGTTGGGGGAAGGGATAGGAAGCAGATCATGGACCACTGGCCGTGAAGGAGGTAACAATTCATTCTCATTTTGTTGGGGTGGCACAGAGTTGGAGGCAACCTGAATTATCCCTAGGGGAGTGACTAGGTAAATTGTGGTGATGGCAAACTGCTCATCCATTAGAAAAAAATGGATTAGATGCAGGTGCAGAACGGGATGGTCTGAAAAATATAGTGCTGAGAGAAAAAAGAAAGAAACAGAGTGAGCTATAAAACAGAGTGCCATAGATAAGTTAAAAATGCATACAGTTCTGAGAAATTGTCACAATCAAGAAGAGCCTAAGGAGACTTGACAAGCACACGTACTGCGGTATCCAGGGTAGGACCCTGGAACGGAAAAGGATAGTAGGTAAAAATTAAGGAAACCTGAAATACAGATTTTAGTAAATGCTAGTGGGTCGATATTCATTCATTAATAGTGTCATATGTACCATGTTAATGTAGAAGTTAATAATGTAGGGGAACTAGGTTAGGGGTATACAGGAACTGTCTAATTTTTCTATAAATAGAAAACTGTTCTAAACAATAAAGCCCATTTTAAAACTGAAGAAAATACATAACGCAGGAACAACTATATATTTCCCAGAAACGCAACACACTGGAATGACTGCCTGTGGAGTGGGCAGGCAATGAAGAGCGAGGAGGGGGTGTTTAAATAAGTAACGAGAGGGTCCTGGCGCAAACCAATGATAATAATGCACCGTGATTGAGACGTGCAATTAACTCTGTCTCGGAGGTCCCAAAACTAATAACAGTGATACATTTTTAGAAAACTGGGAGAGAGACAGAAAGCAGGACAGTAGGTCATGATGGCTACCTAAGTGGGGAGGCTCTGATGACGGAAGGGGACATGGAGGAAACTGAGTAACCTGGAGGAGCCCCATGAAGGAGAAGATATAAGTAGGCCTTGAAGCCAACGGTGGGGATGGGAGGGAGGCGCTTTTAGTGGTTACACAACAGGGACGACAATCCAGGACCCCTCCACAGCCCCATCTAACACCGGTCAGGCCCTCTAATTCCTAGCCAAAGCCAGGAAAACCCAATAGCAACCAACATGAAACATACTGGAGGGAAGCCAAGATGGACAGTGGTACTATGAGTAATAGTACCATGTAATAGGACAGTTACATTTGAATTTGAGATCAACAATGACTAATTTGTTAGTACCAGTATATCCCCAATATTACACAAGACATACTTATACCAAAAAATTATTTGTTGTTGATCTGAAATTCAAATGTGATTAGGCATCTTGAATTTTTACCTGCTAAATCTGGCAACTCTAAATAGTAACAATAGCAGTAACACTGCCTCGTTACTGTTCTAGATACTTCATTTAGTTGTCTTGTTTCATCTTCATAGCAACCCAATGAAGAATGTATTGTTATTTCCTCTTTACAGACATGCAAATTTTGACTCAAAAGGATCAAGTCACTTGCCCAAGGTCCTGAGGCTAGTAGATGCCCAGCCTGGGATGTGAACATCAGTATCTGGACTCCAGAGCCCACGTCTTGAGCATGATGCCACTTCCTGACTGAGCAGGGGAACAGCCCCAGGCTTCGCTCCGACACCCAGAGACAGGTTACGGACTGCAGCCTCCTTGTATGGCCCTCAAAACATGCCACTACCTCAAGAAACCTTCCCACCAGACCCTCTCCCCCCAACTCCGCCCACCTATCGGAGGCATCAAGTGAGCTTTGGGCTTCAGAAAGTGAAAACCAGCACTCCCACAGACGCGGAGCCCCAAGTAGCCCTAAAAGACCACACTGTCCCAACATTAGGGGAAAAATAATGAGAAAAGCGGCTCTTGGCTGAGGGTCTGGATAAGCAGCATAGGTCAGCACAACAAGGTTCTGAGCCAGGCCACGTGCCATCCTGCCTGGGGACCTTTGGGGGTCCCTTCCAGCTTGGGGACAGTTATTAACTTGAATCTTACAAAACGGGTTTCTAATAAAAATGGCACACCACCTCTCAGCATGACACCTCTTGAAAGAATCGCAATGAGCATTTATTGAGCATCTACTATGTACGAGACATTGTGCCAGATGTTCTCATTGCCCTGTCTAATGATGGGGCACCTAAAACTACAATCCAGCAGGGCATCTATTGTTTCGGAAATGAGAAGCCTGAGACGCAGGGAGGTCATTTATTTATTCAACACTCGTTAAGAACCTACTAATTTATTGTTTAGACTCTGTCCTAGGTGCTGAGGATACAGCAGTGAACCAAGCAAGACCCTTGCCTTCATGGAGCAGGTGGGGACACAGATAAAAAACAAATAAATTTCTCATGTCATTTCAGGTAGCAGGGCTAAGTGTGATGAAGAAAAGTAAAGCAGGATCAATGAACAGAGTAGTGGGTGGAGATAGTCTAGCCAGGATGGTCAGGGAAGATGTGTGAAAGGAGAAAGCATGTGAGTAGAGAGACCTGAAGTGAGGAAGTGAGTCTGGGGAAGGGTGCCCAAGGCAGAGGTGACAACCAGTGCAAAGGCCCTGTACTGAGGGTGACCACCACATACCAAGATAAGGCCCGTGGGCTGGAGCAGATTCGGGAGGATGAGGGGGCAGGAGATGAGTTTGGAGAGTATGGCGATGGCAGGTCATTTTTTAAAAAAAATATTACCATGGTATATTTATGTCTTTGTTCGGGATTGAGAGAAATGTAATAAACCACTAATAGTACATGGGTGAGGAGATGTTAAATGGCTGCTGAAGACCATTCTTCCTCCTACATGGTGCAGTGCATGAAAGTCATCATCGGGTCACTCCACTTAATTAAGATGAAGGGGCCAGGACAATTACATAATCAGATAATGTTACAAGGGAAATAATCCAATAACACAACAAATCACGCATGCTTGGAGTAACTCAAAACCTATCTACACAAAATAACCCATAATCCTTGCCAATGGGGTTGGGACCAAACAAATTTTCATTAAGTCTTCAAATTCTATGACTTTTCTGTTGTTTAAGGTGCATTCCTCAAAACTCCAGAAAGAAATTTAAGAAAAAAAAATATTTTTCCCCCACACATCATCACAGAGCTGAGGTTTAGAGAAAGCTCCAAAGATTAAGGAATGTGTGTAAAAGATCTTAAATGGCAGAGCTGTTTTTGTTCACTCTCCCCTCCCCCGCTACAAAGAGAAACAAGAACATGGGTGACCTATAAGAATAAGGGAAACAGATTTCCATTTGTAAACCTGTAAGGGGCCATTGAAAACAAGGATATGAAAAGGAGTTTCAAAGTTATGAGGAAGACATTCAGAGAGGACTTTCAAAAGAAAACAAGCAATTAATGAGTTGGGTAACAATAGAAACTGAGCAATGCCAAGGCCTGATGGCAGGTCATATTTAAAGGATCACTGTGGTATATAGAAATGGATGGGTAAGTGACTGAATAAATGGATGAATGGGTGGACGGATGGGTGGATGGGTGTGTCAATAAATGGGTTTCCATGAATTCCTTTTGGCTAGCTGCTGACCAGAGGTAAGAATATGTGTAGCTCACAAGTTCATAAAATGTGTCCAATGCTTGGTTCCCAAATAATCAACTCCCTCGGAGGAGTCCCAGGCAAGCACATGCCTTCATGAAATAGGTCCCCTATAGAGGATTTTTGATCCCAAGTTCAATAGGCAGACCGGGTCTTCATCCCAAGAAAACCATCACTGAGGAGGCCACGGGATGGGGCTGAGCACACCAGGAAGAAATGCCTTGCCTTCCATCCCTAACAAGGCCAACTCCCACACAACAGGGTGGCACACACACCACCCACTACCTGAGATTCCCTGGGCAGATAGCACTAGCTATGCCAAGGCTCTTCTGCAAGTCCCGGGGAGAGAAAATCTGGTATGCCCACCAAAAACATAGAAGCCACCTGCCAGGACAAAGCCAAGGCTCCCTGCAGGGGATGCTGGTGACCAGGAGCCCAGCCCGACAGAGCCATCCCATCCCACGACCCGTGACAGCTGCCCAGCCTCACCTCCAGGTCCTTCTCGAGCTCCAGCCCGGCCTCCAGCAGCTTGCATTCAAACTCCTCCCGCTGCTCCTTCCTCTCCTCCTCCAGGGCATCGAGCGGGCCTAGCTCAATGTCACCTGGGCCCCCAGCATGGGGCTCCTTGCCCGTCTCCCCATTGGAGACGATGGCCAGCGAGTGGCCAGGGAAGCCGTGGACAGGGTGCGCCCCACGTTTCCGGTAGTGGTAAGCAAGCACATAGTCGACTTTCCTCTTGTTGTCATGGAAGTGCATGCGGCTCAGCCGGGCCTCTGAGAACACCGGGTCGTTAGCATCCAGGTAATTGTTGAAGACCTGGCCAGAGAGAACAGGACAGGGATGGTGAGGTCCAGTGAGGAAGGAGTGAGAAACAGAGGAGGCTGACCTTGCTCTGGGCCCAGAATGGTGCAGTAGGAAGCCCTCAGGCCCAAAGGACCTCACTGCCCCAGTGAAAGGACAGAGTGGCCTAAATCCATCATCACAGCCCTCCACCCACCTGTCCACAGGCATTGGCGCCTTCCCACCTGCTCCGGCATCCATGCACACACATGCCCTCATATACACACAGTGCACATGCAGCAGCAGACCCCCACAGGTCGACACCACCTGCCTTCACACACAGAGCCACAGGCCCACTCCTGCACTTGCACACAGTCACGTCCACTCAGCCTCTCTGCACCAGCACTCCTGCACACGTCTGTGCACACACACCTCACCTAAGTGCACGCTCACACACACACACACACACACACACACACACACACACCTACTGCCTTGCAGGACAGCAGGCCTGCCTGCAAACACACACATATGAGCACACACAGAGTACTCACTGGCAGGTTCTCTGGATCCATTGGAACAAAGGCGAATGTCTGGTCACCTGGCTCAGCCCCACCTCCCACCCCACAGGGAATCAATATACATTGTGCTCCTCACAGGCCCACATCCTCCTCTTCCTCGTCCTCTCCGGCCACTGGTGAGGACTCTGCCAGGGACAGCAGCAGGGAGGCTGACTCCTGCACCCTCAGAGATGGGAGGTTAAGAGAAAAGGAGAAAGAACAAGACAGAGCAGAGGAGGAACCTGCATCCCCTTTGGGTGTTTCCCTGTTTATTACTGGGTTGATACCCAGGTGGCTTAGCAGCCACCTGAGAGGTCACCTGGGCAACCAGATGAAGCGCCAGGCACAAGGGAGAGCCTGAGAGCTGCCACAGCAGAGGTCTGGTTCCTCGGGCCTGTGGGAGGGGAGCCAGGGTGCCCGCAGACCAACAGGCGAGGTCACCTGGCCTCACACCTCCCCTTCCCTGGCCTCTTCTGACCATACTGGAGTATGGCTGGGACATTGTGCTGTCATCGACTTGGAGAGAGAGGAGAGCAAAAGGCCTAACAAAAACCCTGAGCCTGTTTCTCTCTCTCTCTCTCTCTCTCTCTCTCTCACTCACACACACACACACACACACACACACACACACACCTGCCTGCCAAGTGGATGGTCCCCAGTTAAGAGGCTCCTTTGGGGCCCCCAACAGGGTGAGCAGCCAGCACCCCAATCCCAGTACTCACAGAGCTGCTGTGGGAGCGCCCTCCAGGAGAGGGCTGGCCAGAATCTCGGTTGGAGCCGCCCGGCAGGTCCGGGGCTCGGGGACCCAGCACTTTGAGGTATTGCTGTCTGTGCTTGGGGCCCTGGCCACCCTTGGACACTGCCCGAGGGCTCAGCCTGCGAGGAGAGCCAGGGAGCAGAGGGATATCTGTGGGAAGAAGGAGGCAAAGTTGCTTCAGGTGATGGGAAACTCAGGACACAGAGAAAGGAGGCACTGAGGGAGGGACACCAGGGTGGCCCTAAGAAAATATCCATGTCTCCTCACAGTCTTAGTTAACCAGAGTCGCACTTGGCACTGGGGAAGGGAATGGGAGAAGGAACCAGGTGAGGGGTCTCACCCCACTACACACACACACACACACACACACACACACACACACACAAGGGGGAGGGGCTGGAGCCACCAGCAGGCGCTCCTTTGAATGATGGCGGTCATAATCTCTTATAATTCCCAGAGAAGGGGAGAGGGGTACTGTCAGGTGTGCCAGAATGGATGGAGCCTGCCTGGAGAGACACCTTGAATTAATGCCAAAGGCTTAGGTTTTACGGCCTCCCCTGGGGAAGCCAGACCAGCCAGCATCGCCCCTCAAGGAAAAAGCAAGGACAGACCAGGGGTGGGCCCACTGAAGACAGGCGTGTCCTCCAACAAAAAGGCAGCTTCCAATGCCCTTCAGGGTCTCCATGCATCTGTTGCCTCCACCAAGACCTCAGAGATCCACGGCCCCTTCTCGGCCCTCCCCAGAGCAGCCCTTCTAACTACCCGAAGCAGGTCTGCAGTGCTATCTCCAAAACCTTCCAGCATCACCCTGGACGGAAAGGAACCCAGGCAGCAATGGAGTTGCAGCATATTAGAATTCGAGGGGACTGAGAGATGAAACACCCCAACTCCGCTTTGCAGCAAAGCCCCAGATGGGCCACCAGTTGCCAAGGTCTTGCAGCAGACTCAAGCCTCTTCCCACCTCTGAGAAACACTTTCAAGTGGAGCAGCATAGCCAGTGCACCTGAGCTTAACCCTCAGCTCTGCCACCTGGGCTTCACCCTCAGCTCTTGCTGGCTCTGAGAGTTCTCTCTGAGCCTCTTTCTTCAACTCTAAAATGAGAAGAACCCCAAACTTGCAGGACTGCAGTGAGAATGAGAACTAGAGATGTGATACAAAGTGCCCAGGACAGTCATTCGCCTATAGATGTGCAATAAAAAATGGCTATCATAATTATCATTATTTTCATGTTAAGCTCTATATGAACAGAAATCACACCTTATATATCCAGCTTGGCCCTTAGAACCTGTTGAATTAATTAGTTAATTGATTAATTAACGAACAGCAGCTCTTCCAGGTGTCTTGAGACGGAGCTTCCGGCCAGTGACTAGGTGGTGGAGCAGCCCCTACGTGCCCAGCTCTACTGGGCAGTGTCAGTAAGCCTAAACATCTGGTCCCTGCACTTGAGAAACGGCATCTTTTTATGAAGACACAGCTGCCATGCAGGAAACACAGTTATGGCCAGCAGAGTAAAGCTTCTTTAATTTATTTCTATATACAGGCTCCAATCCATATTCTGGGAGACCAGCAAGGCTAGGTCAAGGTAAATTCCCAGAGGAATGAAGCCGGAAGGCTGGTCTCGAAGGGTGGGAGGCTTCTGGAAGGCACGTCCTGAAGACAGAACACAGAGGGCGGGAGCCATGCACATGGTGGTGCAACAGGGGGGCCTCCAGCTCAGGACATCAAGGGGCTCCTTCCTTGGTCTCTGGTCTTGCCCCATCCCTCCCCCTCGTGCCTTTCTGCCTTTCTGCATGCTTGCGCACCCACTAGCCCAGGGCAGAACTGAGGACTCCACACCCCAGGGAAGGCCTGAAAACCTCCAGGTGCATGGCTCAAAAGCCCAAGGCCATCCTGACGTGTAACTGGGCAAATGATAAAGGTGATGCTCACCAAGGTCTGCCCTTCCTTGACAACTATATTCACGTTCACAACCGTGACTCAGGGTAGCTCAGATTCAAAGTCAGCCTAAGCTTTAGTCAAACCACTATCCAGGAGCCACCACCCACTAAAGGTGCCGCCTGGGGCTTGAGGCTGGCCTCCAGGGCCCCGCTAGCCCCCTGGCTGCTTCCTCTGCTTGCTCTCTGACACATGGATCATGGCTGCCTATGTCCCTGCTTTCATACCCACCTTCTCCCCCAAACCAGTGATTAGAGCACAGCCTATCAGCTTCAGAAAGACCTACCAAGCACTAATGACACAGACATGGAGAGACCCAAGAGAGCTGCCCGACACCATGAGAAAAAGCTGAGGGGGTATGTGAGTGAGGCCTGGCCATCAGGAAGGATGGGACAGATAAACACACTCCAAGGGAATCTTCTCAGAAGCTGCGAAGACATGAATTGAGGTTGATCAGAAGCAAAGGCTACCATACACCGCCTACGGAACACGTTGCCCATTTGGAGAAACGTAATCATCTTTCCTTCATTGACCAGTCACTTGGCTCTTGGCACATACTACCTTGAACAACAGACCCAGGTGTTCACAACTTAGCTAGCCTCCTAGGCTATGGGTGTCATCAGGCGGGGACATGGCTTACCCATCTCTGGATCAATTAGATGGATGTTCACAAGGCTTGGACCTGAGGCTTCTTCTCTACCCTCTAATTCTTTCCCTGGATCCTCTCATCTACTGCTGTGGCCTTGATTATCACCTACGTGGTTCATGACTCTAAATTTTTCCTTTAACCCTACTCTTCTCAGCCACCAGATCATCCGCTCCCCTGCCTACGAGGCATCACCAGCTAAATGCTTCAGAGCTCCCTCAAAACCAGCATGTCCAAAACCAAACTTAGGATCTTCTCCACAACATGGTTCTTTTTCAGTATTCCCAATCGCTATAAACGCTGCGGCCATACTCTCAGTCCACAAACCAGAAATCTACAGGCAGCCTTGACAGCTGTCTTCCCTCACCCCATATCCAATTTGTCACCAGTCCCATGAATTTTAACCCTGAAATACCTCCCAAATTCATCTGTTTTCACCACCTCCATGACTACCATGCTGCCCTAAGCTATCATCCTCACTTACCCGGGTTACTCCAACAGCCTCCAAACAGCCCCCTGCTTCGGCCTTTATTCCCCTTCATTGTTCTCCACAAAGCAGCCAGGGGGTCCTTTCAAACTGTTGATCTGGCCAAGACACCTTCATGTATGGAGACTTCTGGTGCTTCCCACGGCTCTCAGGCTTTGAGACTTGCATAGTCTGGCCTGCCTCCATCTCCTTTCCTCTCACCCCATGTTATGCTGGATCTCTGAGCTCCGCCATACTGTTCTGCTTTCAGTCTCTTTAAGGAACCATACTCCCTCCCAGCCCAGGACCTTGTGTATGTTCTTCCCATGGCTGGAACCTGCTTCTTCATCTAGCTGTGGGCCCATTGTTTTGGTCATTATAGGCCCAGAAAATCAAAAGTAGCACATTCCTCTTTCAAAGAGCTGCCCATCGAGGTGTAAGATAGGAATATTCAGATACTACTGGCAAAACTAATTTCCTCCCACCCCAGACATGACTGCAGTTCCACAAGCCAAGGTGGCACAGGAGTGGGGCCACACAGACACAAGTGAAGTCATCAGAGGAAGGCCTCTGAGCTTCATCCGGTGGACTTCATCGGTCAGCAGGGAGCCAGAGAGAGTGGGGCTCAAGAGCAGCATTTATTGTCTGGTGTCACTAAATAAACATAACCCATTGGTGGCAGCCCACTGATTGTCCAGTCAAAGAGACTCCTTCTGGGCCGGCCGAGTGGCACGATGGTTAAGAACTGGCTTGGGACGCCAGAGGGCCCCGGTTCGGATCCCACATATGAGGGCCAGTGACACTGCCCTCTACAGCTAAGATGCTGAACAACAGCTCAACCTGGAGCTGGGCTGCCATGAGTCGCCGGCGACGGCGTAGGCTGCAGCCCCTGTGGCAGTGGGTTGCCATGGGCTACCGTGTGTAGCCAGCAGCCAGCGTGAGCAGCCAGCAGCCGCAGTGAGCGGCCGTCCAGAAGCCGGTGACTGATCTGCCTCACCCGGGAAGAGCACAATGATGGTGCCAGCTTGGGCCAGTGAAGCAACATCCTCTACAAGTAAACTGAAGAACAAAAACAACAGCAACTTGTCTGTTCTCCTTCCCCCGATTCCCCAATAAAATCTTTTAAAAAAAAAAAAAGAGAGACTCCTTCTATGCCCAAGCCCTTGCCCAGATCTCCAAATGACCACCCCAACTGACTGCCCCATATGTGACTAGCTCCTTTCAATTGTCCAGGCTCTCCTAAGACTCCTAAGGCATTAGGGTTGGGGGAACGGAGAGCCCTCTTTACCTAGTCAAAGCGTAACCAGATGAAAATGAACAGAGGTCTCCCACTAGGCATGGATAGACGGCAGCCCGACCTAGGCAGCATATCACCTGCCAACATCCACATCTGCTCCCAATCCATTCTCCTCCTCCACCCTCAGAGGGATCTTTTTAAATTATACTTCAAGCTACTCCACCCTCTCACCCCTTCAATGGTTCCCTGTTGCCAGAGCATAAAATCTTTACCATGAACAGAAAGGTGCTACATATATTCTCCCACCTTCCTCCAGCCTTCCTTCCTATTCCCCATCTCTGGGAGCTAGAGTGTTCTGAACACTTTTATCTGCTCCATTTGTGGAGACATTGATGCACAGTGGGGCCACAGGGCACTTGATAAGTGGGGAGAGGACTGTACATTTGGAGGGTAGGGAGAAAATGAAGGGAGGGAGGGCAGTGTCATGGTCTTGGCCTGCTGTTTGGAGGCACCTGCACCCTGTCTGAATGGTCCAAGGCCACAGTGGGCAGTCTTTATCAGGCTGAGAATAAGAAAATCAATGCCAGATGGTGATTTGGGACTCCATTAGCGCAGGGGCAGGCTCTACAGGCCACCTGAGAAGCATGGGAGTCAACTTAAACACATCGTTCTCATTCTTACTCTACAGCCCTCCCAGGACTAGGCATCAGCGCTCTGCCACATGGCAAGCTCCACACACAGCCAGGAGTGAGCTCAGACACACTGAGCCTTGGGACCTAGTCCCCGCACTGCCATGATTTTGGAAAAATATACTTTTTCTCTGTGCTTAGTTATTCCTTCCACGATTGATGGAGAGGGTGTCATTACTATACGTTTTCTTAATAGGATGAG